GGGGGGTTTACTTTTTTTATTTGTGACTTTTATTTTTTTTTACTTTTTTTGTTTGTGACTTTTATTTTTTTAAACTTTTTTTATTTATATAGATTTTTTTTTTACACTTATTGTTATTGCTATTACATAGGGGCATACCATCCCCCTATATAATAGCACAGGTACACTGACAGGTCCTCTTTATGGAGACATTAGGGGTCTCTAGACCCCTAATGTCACCTGGAGACCCCATAAGAAGCTGATGAAGCACAGATTTGCTTCATCAGCTTCTTCTCTCTGACTGACTGACAGGTGAATGCGGAAGTGATGTAATACACATCACTTCTGCATTCACACTACAGAGGGAGAACAGCAAGGAGCTGATCTCCCTCCCTCCTCCTCCTGACGCCCTCCCGAGCCAATCCCGGGCCGCAGATGGGCTAGCGGATCCCGGGATTAAAGGTGAGGGGTCAGGAGGGGAAATGGTGGTACTAGCGTTTCTGCAGCCGTTAACGGCTGTAGAAACGAGCGGGTCTTTCCTGCCCGTGCGAGCAGGAAAAAAATGCCGTCTGGACACAGCAACCCGCGGATGCGAGTCTGCCGTCCGTCCGTTTTTTCTTAACGGGCGGACGGCAAGAGGTTAGAATAGAAAAAGAGATTGAGGACACAAAGTCCTCTATCTCTTTTTCTGTATCCCCTGTTATAAATGAACAGGAATCCTTTATACTGAGTGTTCCTGTTCATTCATAGCATGAGGACAGAGTATGCTTACTATAACTTCAACTATGAATGAACAGGAAGTGATGTATCAGGAGGTGATGTAGAACACTCCCATTCATAATTGAGGATATAGTAATCATACTCTGTTCTCAACTATCTTCAAACACTCAGCGATCACTGAGTGTTTGTTCCGCTCTCCATCCTGACCGCTTTCACAGGAGGCTGAACGAGCGGAGCAGGGAGGAGAGCTCAGCCTCCTGTGACAGCGCGGGCTGTCTTCACCCACACACCGCTCTGCCAGACTGTGATAGGAGGCTGAGCGGTGTGGGAGGAGAGATGCCGGCCGCTCACAGCGCTCTCCTCCCACATCGCTCGGCCGGCTGTCACACTTTCTCTCTTCCCCGCTGGGACACAGAGCAGCACTCAGCAGGGAGGAAAGAAACCTGGGATGCGCCGATGTATTGGCAGGAAAATTGCACTTTTGGCATAATGCCAAAAGTGCCATTTTCGGCTGATATGTTTCGGCAATCGATATATCGGTGCATTCCTAATTATAACCACATAGATATTAACAGCGGAGATGACTGATTCATGGAATTTTCAATAGGATTAAGAAGGAATGTGTTCCCCCCAGTTGGAGCAAATTGGACCATGCCTTATAGTAGTTTGTTTTGCCTTTCTCTCGATCTACTGTGGCTATAAGGTTCTGTTTATGGTGGTTTTCTATTTATCATTTCATCTTTTTTTTTTTGTTGCACTTAATGGACTTGTGTCTTCTTTCAAACCTGAGCATTTCCTCTTTAAATAACACTCGTTATATAATATATATATA